AATCTTCTGCAAAAAGAATCGGTATTTGATCATTCTTCTGTTAAAGTATTTGTATATTAGTCTTCTGCAAATTTGAAGAACATTCTTAAATATCGGTAAGACCAAGCACATCACATAAAGATTTCGGAATTGTAGAAACACTAGCACCCAAGTCACATAAAGCAAAACACTCATAATTTTTGATCTTGACTTTGATAGTAGGTTCCCATTCATCATGTAATTTTCTAGGAATTCAAACCTCTAATTCCAACTTTTATTCTAAAGCTTTCATCATAGCATCAACAATATGTTTAGTAAAAGCTTTATTTTGTTCAAAAGCATGGGGTGAATTTATCATGGATTGCAACAAAGAAATACAATCAATCAAATAGCAACTATCATAATTAAAGTATTTGTAATCCAAAAGAGTGGGCATATCACTAGTTAAAGTTTTGACCTCTTCAAACCCACTTTCATCAATTTTCTCAACAAGATTTTCACCCTCCGAATTATCGAGACGCCTTCTAGCTAAAGTTGACTCTTCTTCAATCCCTTTATTATCCATCTTAATTTTACTGAGCAAAGAATCAATAGAAGAAACACTAATCATTTTAAGATCTTCATCACTTTTATCTTCTAACGAGATTGGTTTAGCGGCCATTTGATTTACTACGGTAGCTTGTGCATCGGATATTTTACCTAGCAAACTTTCAGCAAAAGCATACTTAGATTGGAGATCGCAAACTTCTCTACTAATATCATCAAGTTGTTTAGTTATAGCTTCCAGCACAACAGAGTGTTCCTTAAGTTCTTCGATAAAATATTTATTGTGCTCAAATTGTGTAGTCATATATTCCATAGTACTTTTCTCAATTTCAAGAAAAATATTGGGATAAGGAACATCATAATATTTTCTTTGAGGCATCATGGCTATGCAAACAAGGGTGCACACAAAAACAGATCTGACGAGAAAACGGCGAAAGAAAAAGAGGGCGAATAAAACGACAAATTTTTGTGAAGTGGGGGAGAGGAAAACAAGAGGCAAATGGAAAATAATGTAAATTGCAAGGAGATGAGATTTGTGATTAGGAACCTGGTAGATGTTGATGATGTCTCCCTGACAACGGTGCCAGAAATTCCTTTTGATGCGGCTAGAACTATGTCGGTATTTCCCCAAAGAGGAAGGATGATGCAGCACAACTACGGTAGGTATTTCCCTCAGTGATAAGACTAAGGTTGTCGAACCAGTAGGAGAACCACTCAACACCACGTAAACAGCTCCTACACACAAAGAACAAATACTTGCAACCAGATGTAAGAGAGGAGTTGTCAATCCTTCACGGGTAAAAAGATAGGTAAAATTGTAATAGATTGGATAAATAGATCTCGCGGGAACGCGAGATAAAATAAATAAATAAAAATTGCAGCAAGGTATTTTTGGATTAATAGATTTGAAAATAAAAGCAAATAAAAATAGATCGCGAAGGCAAATATAATAAAGAAGAGACCCGTAGGCCGTAGATTTCACTAGTGGCTTCTCTCAAGAAAAATAGCAAACGGTAGGTAAACAAGTTACTATTGGGCAATTGACAGAACTTCAAATAATCATGATGATATCCAGGCAATGATCATTATATAGGCATCACATCCAAGATTAGTAGATCGACTCATGCCTGCATCTACTACTATTACTCCACACACTGACCACTATCCAGCATGCATTTAGTGTATTAAGTTCATGGAGAAACGGAGTAATGCAATAAGAATGATGACATGATGTAGAAAAGATCAATTTATGCAGAAATAGACCCCATCTTTTTATCCTTAATAGCAACGATACATACGTGTCGGTTCCCCTTCTGTCATTGGGATTAATGAACGAAGTTTTACGTGCTTTCATTGGACGATTTGTGGTAGCTTACTTTGATGACATATTGATTTATAGCAAATCTTTGGACGATTTGTGTTGTTTTTATTGCTCTACGTGATGCACGTTTGTTTGGTAACCTTGGAAAGTGCACCTTTTGCACCGACCGAGTATCTTTTCTTGGCTATGTTATTACTCCTCGGGGAATTGAAGTTGATAAAGCCAAGATTGAAGCTATTGAGAGTTGGCCGCAACCCAAAACGGTAACACAAGTGAGGAGTTTCCTTGGCCTCGCTGGTTTCTATAGGCGTTTTGTGAGATATTTCAGCACCATTGCTACACCTCTCAACGAGCTTACAAAGAAGGATGTGCCTTTTGTTTGGGGTACCGCACAGGAAGAAGCCTTCACGGTATTGAAAGATAAGTTGACACATGCTCCTTTACTCCAACTTCCTGATTTTAATAAGACTTTTGATCTTGAATGTGATGCTAGTGGAATTGGATTAGGAGGTGTGTTATTACAAGATGGCAAACCTATTGCATACTTTTCTGAAAAATTGAGTGGGCCTAGTCTGAACTATTCTACTTATGATAAATAATTATATGGTCTTGTTCGGACCTTAGAAACATGGCAACATTATTTATGGCCCAAGGAATTTGTTATACATTCTGATCATGAATCTTTGAAACACACTAAAAGTCAAGCAAAACTGAACCGTAGACAGGCTAAATGGGTTGAATTCATTGAGACTTTCCCTTATGTCATTAAACACAAGAAGGGTAAAGAAAATGTTATTGATGATGCATTGTCTCGTCGTTATATTATGCTTTCACAACTTGACATTAAATTTTTTGCTTTGGAGACCATCAAAGATCAATATGTGCATGATGCTGAATTTAAAGATGTATTGCAGAATTGTAAGGAAGAGAGAACTTGGAACAAGTTCGTTCTTAACGATGGATTTGTGTTTCGTGCTAACAAGCTATGCATTCCAGCTAGCTCCATTCGTCTTTTGTTGTTGCAGGAGGCGCATAGAGGAGGATTATTGGGACACTTTGGCGTCAAGAAGACGGAGGATATACTTGCTACACATTTCTTTTGGCCAAAGATGAGACGGGATGTTGAGCGTTTTGTTGCTCGCTACACTACATGTCAAAAAGCTAAGTCACGACTCAATCCTCATGGTTTATATATGCCTTTGCCTGTACCTAGTGTTCCTTGGGAGGATATATCTATGGACTTTGTTTTAGGTTTACCTCGAACAAAGAAGGGGAGGGATAGCATATTTGTTGTCGTGGATAGATTCTAGAAAATGGCACACTTTATACCATGTCATAAAAGCGATGATGATGTTAATGTTGCTGATTTGTTCTTTCATGAAATTATTCACTTGCATGGTGTGCCAAATACTATTGTTTCAGATCATGATACTAAATTTCTTAGCCACTTTTGGAGATGTTTATGGGCTATGTTGGGGACTAAACTGCTTTTTAGTACTACTTGTCACCCCCAAACTGTTTTTAAGAATAATAAGAAAATGTGGGAAGAATGATTGCCTCATATTGAATTTGCTTATAATCGTTCATTGCATTCTACTACTAAGATGTGCCCTTTTGAAATTGTGTATGGTTTCCTACCTCGTGCACCTATTGACTTGTTGCCTCGTCCATGTTCGGAGAATGTTAATTTTGATTCTAAAGAACGTGCTGAATCGATTTTAAAAATGTATGAGTTAACTAAGGAAAAAATTAAGCGTATGAATGCTAAATATAAACTTGCTTGAGATAATGGTAGTAAACATGTTGTGTTTGCACCTGGAGATCTTGTTTGGTTACATTTGCGTAAGGATAGATTTCCTAATTTGTGCAAATCAAAGCTAATGCCACGCGCTGATGGTCCTTTTAAGGTGTCAGAGAAAATAAATGATAATGCATATAAACTTGAGGTGCCTGTAGATTTTGGGGTTAGTCCCACACTTTTAACATTGCGGATTTGAAGCCTTATTTGGATGAGGAAGATGAGCTTCAGTCGAGGACGACTTCATTTCAAGAAGGGGAGGATGATGAGGACATCAATACCATTGTTACACCCATAGCCCCTGCTGCTATACATATTGGACCAATTACTAGAGCTCGCGCACGCCAATTAAATTATCAGGTACTTTCGTTTCTTGGTAATGATTCTAATGTTCATGAGAATATGATGTTGCCTAAATTGGATACATTTGTTTTGCTTACAAATGAAGGACCTCGCATGGATAGGAGGGATGAACACTGGAGCAAGACCAAGCATGGAGATGATGGCATGCGCAAGGGGATTAAGAACGGAGTTCCAAGTGATGATTTCAACACTTTGAAGCTACCATAAGGAGTGCATGAAGCCTTCGACAAAATATACAAGATGCCACTTCATAAATTTCGTCCAGAGGCTATTCTAGTTGCTGCGTCACCTTATTATTGGGCCAGGCCCATGTATTTTCGAAATACTTAAGTATAGGTTGTTTTTAGAGCCCGTATGTGTGGGGAAACAAGACTTAGGGTTGGTTTCGGACCCCTCCTCCAAGGGCCCCGAAATTCCCCCTCTTCCTCCATATATACAGCCCTTAGGGCGTCGTTTAGACTTTGGGTTTTGTTTAGATTAAAAGTTCGCCATAGCTGCAACTTTGCATACTTCATTTGTGTCCAACGACCAGACCAAGACGTCACAGAACCCCACCTTCATTAATAAAGCTTTCCTCTTTTGTTCGCAATATCCACATTGCAATCTTAGATTCTTGATTGTTCTTCATTTGCTCGCAGGAAATAGTCCCTCGTGGTCAGGTTGATCGTGCTCCGGCGTGGTCAATAACCCGTGGAAGTTGGTTTAGCGATTGCTAAGGCGCGATGTCTTCGCACGTTCGTAGTCAGATCGTGCAAGTCGACTCCCACAGAAAACGATATCTATGTCATCGAAACATCGGGACAACTTCGCCTCTATCACACGGGGTGGATTCCGGCCTAACCCCATGCCGCCAAGTCAAAAGTTGACACAAAATTAATTTCAGTGCGACTAAATAGCATGATTCATCAGTTCATCAGTTCAATCAAAAGGTCATAGGTTCATGGGCAATTTTTCAACGGTTCAGTTCAAAATTCAACAATTAATTTTTTTCAACTATTCAAACTGAGGAATGACAGCTGACCCATCATACTTCATATAATTTTCTATACAAAATGATTCACAGCCAAATTCGCAATAGTTCAACGGTTCATGGCCAAATTTGCAAGCACCATACTTCCTGTAGAAAACAAATACATTATCTTTAAGCTGCAACGCTATCTTTCTTTTTAGAGTACATCCGCTAGGGGCCAGCAGCAGCTCCTCACATGGAGTGTGAGAGAAAGATGAGCGAACACACCTATGGCCGAGCATAGATAGCAACGTCGTCCTGGTCATCACGGAGAAGTAGAACTGCCCCGTCGTCTTCAGCAGCAACGCTGACTCTTCACAAGCAATGTGTGGGGAGGCGGGGCTGGTGTGCTGACAGGAGGCGGCGCTGCCGGGAGGCAGCGATGGCATTTTCCTGATGTACTATGCTTTGTATTTTGATGCTCACACTAGCTAGGTCTGTAGAAGTTGTTCTATGAGTTGTTTTGCAAGTGGAAACACAGAATCTTTTAGAGCTCAATTTCTTATGGAGGAAGTGGAAGAAGGATTAACTAATATTTGGTCTTGGCACAGTAAATATATTTGAACCTAGACAATTTAACTAGTTGAACTGAGACAGTCAAACTGATTAGAACATCTAGGTATAATGAGATTATTTAACTAGTTGAACTGAGACCGATGAGCACCACAAATCCACCATGTGATTTTAGGCTTACAGAATTACTGAATGTTTTGTGTTCTTCTATGAACCTTTTTGTTAACTTTTTTCTGAACTCCAGACCACAATTACAATTACAATACACACATGTACTACACAACAGTGTGTATTTGTACTATTCATAACAACGAATTAACCAAAAAATAACTAGATTATGAAGGAAACACTTTTTGAACATGGTTTGAGCTTCATCTCTTCATATTTTTTGAACTCGTGCAGCAGGTATACCTGAACTTGCGTGACATTTTATTCAGTTGAAAGAAGCTATTTTTTGAACTCCTGCGGCTAACATACCTGGACTCATGGATGGGGGTGGAGGCAACTGCTCTAGCAAGGGCTGCGGGTTGGCCAACTTCTCTACTAATCATGTTTGTGTGTTTCTTGTTACTGTGTACACCATGTTGTTGCTCAACAACAAAACACAACTTGATTTATATCAGCAAAGTAAAAGTTGGCTGGAAATTTTGTTCCTTGCATCTAGAAAAATTTATAAGTTATAACATGAGATATTCTATCAGATGCGGAGCTTTTAGTTACCCTGGTGATGAAATAGGAAGCCTGTTGAACTAAAAATCATGGAAAATGTGAACTGAAAATCATAGAAAATGTGAACATCTTCAATCAATAAACTCTACTGGATCCCTTAGCTCTATCTTTGCCACCTCCGCCTGCAATTGAAAATTATTTCCATGTTAGAGCTAAAGACCGAGATAAAATTTTGGTGAAAGTGGCACAAAGCACTTGATACGGGCAAGCACATAACTCGGCCCTGTCCTCATGTATGATCTACACTTTGGGATGGTTTTGAGAATGGCCTGAATGGCCTGCGGTGGTGGCTGTGGACGTCCAGCGTCGTCGTGTGGGTCTGGTGGGCCTCAAAGGCAAGCTGTCAAAGGAGGTCATCGACAGCGAGCTGTGCCAGCAGGGAGCCATGGCTATTCCAGAGATCAGGAGCTGTCAAAGGAGGCAGACTCCTGAGTTGCGGCGTTGAAGGACTTGGCGTTGTCTTGTTGAACAGCTCGGGATGGCAACAGTGAATGGCCAAGGTGTTGCAGCGACGAAGCCTCACCAGTGGAAGGAGGTAGCGTGGTGGAGGGATTAGAGTGAGCTCGGCCACGAGCGCAACCGCCATGGGATGAATAGGAGGAAGTGCTGAACAGCAATGGAGGTGAGGAGGTGCTTGGCTAGTGGCGGAACAAGGAGAGATAGCGGCGGCGTGTGAGGACGTCGTTCGGGTGGCCGTGGTGGCGACAGATGGTTTTGGGCGGTGTGATCTGTGGCAAGGCAACATCGACGACTCGATCTATGGTTGGAGTGCGGGGCGGCGGCCGGATCCGAGGGAGAAGGTGGGGGCGGCGGCCGGAGCCGAGGGAGAAGGTTGGGCCGGCGGCCGAAGCCAAGGGAGAAGGTGGGGGCGGTGGCCGGAGCCGAGGGAGAATGTGTGGGGCGGCGGCCAGAGCTAAGGGAGAAGGTGGGGACAGGGCTGTGCACTGGGGGACAGGGGAGGCCGTGACGGCGTGCTGGGGAAGGGGGGAGGCAGCGGCGGCACGCTAGGGTACGAAGAGGTCGCGGTGGCGCGCTGGTGAAAGGGGCGGCCGCGGCGGCGCGCTGGTGGAGTGGATCAGGCCGGGGGATGGGGGTTCTGGGTCTTTTTCATTTTTCCTTTTTCCTTTTGTCGTTTTGGGCAGGGTAGTTTAGGTGGCCTTTTTTAGCTCGTAGTTCCTCAGATCGCTCCTTATAGGGCTGAGGGGTAGCAGAATATTAGGGTTGGGCTATTCTATTACTAGTAACAAAATAATATATAGGGCTGGACTATTCTGTTACTAGTAACAGAATAATATGTATAGGAGTGTACTATTATGTTACTAGTAACAGAATAATATTCTGTTACCATCACGCCCTATATAATATAGACCGCATCCGTTTTTCAGATCAGCTAATTAACCCGAACCGTTACTGGACGAAAGAAACCCCACCCCACCCATACGACCTACCCGGCCACCCCCAATCTCACCTTCTCCATGCTCTCGGCGCGGCTCGCCCCCATCTTCTCCCCGCTCCTGGCGCCGCCCGCTCCCCTCCTCCTCCCTGTCTCCCTGCGCCGCCCGTCCTCCACGTTCTCCCTG